GGAGCACTGTGGGCACACCAGGGTCTCTGAGACTCTCCTGCGTGGGATCTGGATTCACCGTCAGTGACTACTACATGGACTGGACCCGCCAGTCTCCAGGGAAGGGGCTGGAGTGGGTTGGTTTCATTAGAAACAAAGCTAATAGTCACAGCACAGAATATGCTGCATCGGTGAAAGTCAGATTCACCATCTCAAGAGAAGATTCCAAAAGCACTGTCTATCTGCAAATGGACAGCCTGAAGTCCCAGGACACAGCCGTTTATTTCTGTGTGAGAGACACAGTGAGGGGAAGTCAGTCTGTGCCCAGACACAAACCTCCATGCAGGGTCACGCGGGAGCACCAGGGGGTGCGCAGGACACACTGAGCAAGCGCCAGCCCTGGAGCAGGTGCAGGTGGAGGTTAAGTGCTGGTTTATGTTTGTGTTCTTGGGCTTCCTCTTCATCAAAGAGTTTCCCAGAAATCCCCTCTAGATTCATGCCTCTGGGATTACCACTGACATATCTGAATTAGAGCCCTCACTGTAGCAGGAGGACATATTCTCACATGCAAACTAGTCAGGGTCTCACTTATAAAATCAGAATGACTATGCTGTGCTCACCAGAATCAGAGTCCTGAGGAAGCTCAGAGGACCTTGTGAGTATTTACCAGACAGGCTCAGGGCGGAGCCATCACTGGGGTTTACCTTTAAAGATGCTCTTTGAAACTCATATTTGAAGCAAGAGGAGGCTGGACCAGGTACAGAGACCAGTGACATCCAGTGGATTTTTACATCTGACCACCCTCCTTTGCAGGTGCACATCAGACTCAGCACTGATCAGGCTTTCTTGTGATTTTAGTACCTCTCCACTTATAAGACACAGGATTCTGCACTTAAAAATCTCTCCTCAGTCTCTATGGTAAAATCCACTGTTGGTCTGTGGAAGCTAACAGCGTTCTCCTCAGACAGAACTGATGTCTCTGGGGAAAAAAAGATTGAGGTCTAAAAGAAGATGACAAAGGGTACAAAAGCAATTTCTGGTAAAATTTATGTACCTGATATTAATTTGGCCCCCACGTCATGGGCAGGAGGGGGGCAATCAGCTTTGTATTTCATGAATATTCAAAATAAATAAATATATGAAGAAGATGAGATTTTTGGGTCTTCTTCATTGCCTGGTGAAAGCTCTCCAAAAGGAGTGTCTCAGTTGTCAGACATGGGTCTTTGGGGACGGCTGTGAGTGTACGTGACTGAAAGAGACTGATTCTTTCTATTCCCAAGTGTCTTTCTTCAGGTGCAGTTTCAGGAGTTGGGCTCAACAGTGGTGAAGCCCTCACAGAAATGCTCCATCACTTGTGCTATGTCTGGATTCTTAATCACAATCAGTGGTTTCTCCTGGTGTTGGTCTGAGGAAGCTAACAGCGCTCTCCTCAGACAGAACTGAAGTCTCTGGGGAAAAAAAGATTGAGGTCTAAAAGAAGATGACAAAGTTTACAAAAGCAATTTCTGGTAATGAGTATGTACCTAATATGAATTTGCCCCCCACATCATGGGCAGGAGAGGGACAATCAGCATTTTATCTCATGAATATTCAAAACAAACAAATGAAGAAGATGAGATTGTTGTGTCTTCTTCATTGCCTGGTGACAGCTCCCCAAAGGGAGTGTCTCAGTTGTCAGACATGAGTCACTGGGGATGGCTGTGAGTGTACATGACTGAAAGAGACTGATTCTCTCTATTCCCAAGTGTCTTTCTTCAGGTTCAGGTTCAGGAGTTGGGCTCAACAGTGGTGAAGCCGTTGGAGAGACTCTCCTTTACTTGTGCTGTCGCTGGATTCTTTATCACAACCAGTGGTTTCTGCTTTGAATTGATCCTCTGAGCCCTTGAGTAGGGGCTGTAGCGGATGAGCTTCATTTGTCCTTATGAGAAATGACACTGTAGCCTGTCCGTCAAGAATTGAGTCTTCATCTCCAGAGATGTGTGTAAAAAACAGTTTTTCCTGCAGTCAGCTCCAAGATGGCCGAGGACATGGCTGTGTGGTACTGTGCAAGAGAAGCAGAGGCAGTGTGAGTCCAGATAAAAATCCCCCTGCAGGAGAACAGGGGACCTCCACGGAGCACTGTGGGCACACCCAGCAGGTGGACCTCAGGGCAGCTGCAGTTCAAGCCATGGAGGGTTTTCCCTCAGAAGCTGTGGTTTCCCACCAGGACCTGCCTCCCAAAAGCCTCCCAACACAGTAAACCCAGGTAAAATTCATCACTTTCTACATCAATATTTTTCCTCCTTTAGGAGCCAGGACTTCCTGACTTTACCTGTCTGTCTCAGGACAGGATGTAGAATAATATTTCTTAAAACACGTCATCCGTATATTTATAGGTGAACCAGTGAACACAGTCTTTTTCTTTTTTTATAAGTACGCGTAAATTACAATGCTAATTCTCAACCCATGTGCCCACGATGTGAGGGCCAGATTCTCCCTGGGGCCCTACCCATTACCAGAAATTAATTTTGTACCCCTTGTCCTCCACACACTTGTACCCCAACCACCCTCCCCCTCCAACTTTCTCCCCACTACACTGTAGCCCTAGAAATGTTCTCTCCCTCTGCAACTCCAACACACGACTGTGCTCTTTCTTTCCTTCCTTCCTTCCTCTCTTAGCTCACACATATGAGTGAGCACATGCGGTATTTATCCCTCGGTGCTTTGCTTATTTCACTCAACATAAGTTTCACCAGGCTCATTAATTTTCTTGAAAATGGGAGAATTTCAATCATTTTTATGGCAGAGTCGTATTCCATGGCGTACATATACCACAGTTTCCTTATCCAATCATCCATCGATAGACATGTAGGTGTGTTCCATGTCGTGGCTACTGTAAAAAGAGCTGTGGTGAACATGGGAGTGCAGATAACCTCTCGACATGATGATTTCCATTACTCTGGGTATATACCCAGATGGGGGATTGCTGGATCATATGGTAGTTCTACTTGTAGTTGTTTGAGAAACCTCTATACTATTTTCCAAAGTGTTTGTACTAATTGACAGTCCCAACAACAGTGCAGCAGGGATCCCTTCTGTCCCCATCCTCACCAGCATTTGTTATTCACCATCTTTTTATTATAGCCAGTCTAACTGGGGTGAGGTGGTATCTCAATGTAATTTTAATTTGTATTTCCCTTATGACTAGTGATGTTGAGCATTTGTTTGTATATCTGTTGGCCATTTGTATGTCTTCCTTTGAAAACTGTCTATTCAGCTCTGTTGCCCATTTTTTACGTAGATTATTTGCTTTTTTACTCTATAATTGCTTGAGTTCTACGTATATTCTGGATATTAATCCCTTGTTGGATGCAGAGTAAGCACAAATATTCTCCCAATCTGTAGGTTGCCTTTTCACACTGTTGATTGTTTCCTTTGCTGTTCAGAAACTTTTTAGTTTTATATTGTCCCATTTGTTTATTTTTTTTTCTTCTGCTGCTTGTGCTTACAGCCACATGTTCATAAAGCCTGTGCCTTGACCTAACAGCTGAAGTGTGTCACTTATATTTTCCCTTAGAAATCTTACAGTTTCAGGTCTTATGATTAAGTCTTTAATCCATTTTGAGTTGGTGTTAGTGTGTGGTGAGAGATGCATATCTAGTTTCATTCTTCTGCACATGGATATCCAGTTTCCAAAGCAATACTTGCTGAAGGGGCAGTCCTTTCCCCAATGTAGTTCTTTGTTGCCTTTGTCTAATATCAGATGGCTATAAGCCTGCGGGGTGATTTCTGTGTTCTCAATTCTAATCCACTTGTCTGAATGTCGATTTTTATACCAGTACCATGCTCTTTTCATTATAATAGCTTTGTAGTATAATTTGAAGTCAGGTAGTGTTATGCCTCTGCCTTTATTTATTTATTTATTTACTTATTTTTGCTCAGAGTTATTTTGGCCATTTGGGGTCTTTTGTTTTTCCATATGAAAGGTAGGATCATTTTTCCCATTTCTGTGAAGAACATCATTTATATTTTGATGGGGAATGCATTGAATCTGTAGAACACTTTGGTTAGTATAAACATTTTCACAATGTTAATTCCTTCAATCCAAGAACATGGAATGTCTCTCCATGTTTTTGTGTCTTCTTAAATTTCTTTCTGAAGTCGTTGATAGTTCTTATTGTAGTGGTCTTTCACCTCCTTGGTTAAGTTGATAGCTAGATATCTTATTTTTGTGTGTGTGAAAATTGTAAATGGGCTTACTTTTTTATATCTCTTTCTGTTAATTCATTATTTAATATATAAATGCTACTTAGGGACATTTATTTTGTATCCTGCACTAAACAATAAAATTTCTTCTCATCAGCTTATAGTACATTCTCCAGGATAGACCACACGTTAGGTCACAAAACTAGTCTCAGCAAATTTAAAAAAATTGAAATCATTCCAACTATCTTTTCAGACCACAATGACTAAAACTGGAAATAAACAACAAGCAAAGCTGTGGAAGTTATACAAATACATGGAACATAAATATAGGCTCCTGAATGACCTATGGGTCCAAGAAGAAATTGAATAGGAAATCAAAAAATTTCCAGAAGCTAATGAAAATTAAGTTACATCATAGCAAAACCCATAGGATAATGCAAGAGCACAAGAGGCAAATTTATTGCAATTAATGCTTATATCAAAAGAATGGAAAGACTTCAGATAAACGACCTCACACTATGACTCAAAAACTTGAATCACAACAGCAATCAAAACCTAAAGGTAGTAGGGCTGAGCCCGTGGTGCACTCGCGAGAGTGCGGTGCTGGGAGCGCAGCAGCGCTCCCGCTGCAGATTTGGATCCTATATATAAGAGATGCATATCTAGTTTCATTCTTCTGCACATGGATATCCAGTTTCCACAGCAATACTTGCTGAAGGGGCAGTCCTTTCCCCAATGTAGTTCTTTGTTGCCTTTGTCTAATATCAGATGGCTATAAGCCTGCGGGGTGATTTCTGTGTTCTCAATTCTAATCCACTTGTCTGAATGTCGATTTTTATACCAGTACCATGCTCTTTTCATTATAATAGCTTTGTAGTATAATTTGAAGTCAGGTAGTGTTATGCCTCTGCCTTTATTTATTTATTTTTATTTATTGTTTTTTTTTTGCTCAGAGTTATTTTGGCCATTTGGGGTCTTTTGTTTTTCCATATGAAAGGTAGGATCGTTTTTTCCTATTTCTGTGAAGAACATCATTTATATTTTGATGGGGATTGCATTGAATCTGTAGAACACTTTGGTTAGTATAAACATTTTCACAATGTTAATTCCTTCAATCCAAGAACATGGAATGTCTCTCCATGTTTTTGTGTCTTCTTAAATTACTTTCTGAAGTCGTTGGTAGTTCTTATTGTAGTGGTCTTTCACCTCCTTGGTTAAGTTGATCGCTAGATATCTTATTTTTGTGTGTGTGAAAATTGTAAATGGGTTTACTTTTTTATATCTCTTTCTGTTAATTCATTATTTAATATATAAATGCTACTTAGGGACATTTATTTTGTATCCTGCCACTAAACAATAAAATTTCTTCTCATCAGCTTATAGTACATTCTCCAGGATAGACCACATGTTAGGTCACAAAACTAGTCTCAGCAAATTTTAAAAAATTTAAATCATTCCAACTATCTTTTCAGACCACAATGACTGAAACTGGAAATAAACAACAAGCAAAGCTGTGGAAGGTATACAAATACATGGAACATAAATATAGGCTCCTGAATGACCTATGGGTCCAAGAAGAAATTGAATAGGAAATCAAAAAATTTCCAGAAGCTAATGAAAATAAAGTTACATCATAGCAAAACCCGTAGGATAATGCAAGAGCACAACAAAGAGGCAAATTTATTGCAATTAATGCTTATATCAAAAGAATGGAAAGACTTCAGATAAACGACCTCACAATATGACTCAAAAACTTGAATCACAACAGCAATCAAAACCTAAAGGTAGTAGGGCTGAGCCCGTGGTGCACTCGGGAGAGTGCGGTGCTGGGAGCGCAGCAGCGCTCCCACTGCAGATTTGGATCCTATATAGGGATGACCGGTATGCTCACAGTACTCACTGGCTGAGCGTGGTGTGGCTGGTCTCAAAAAGGGGGGGGGGAAAAAAAAAAAAAAAAAAAAAAAAAAAAAACACCTAAAGGTAGTAGATGGAAATAAAAAAAATAATATCACAGCAGAACTAAATGAATCAGAGACCCAGTAAACAATAGAAAAGATAAAGAAAACAAAAAGTTGGTTTTTTGAGAAGATAAATAAAATAGACAAATCATTACCTAGTTTAACAAACACAGGAGGAGAGAAGAACCAAATAACAAAAATCAGAAATGAAAACGGAGACATTACA